TGGTGAACGAGTTGCTCACCTTGGGGACATTCACGGAGGCATCATCCTCCTCGGCCAGAGCCCCAGCACAGAGATCAGTTGAGGAGGACACAGAAATCGGGTCAGACGATGCAGATCCCTGATCTCCGCTGGTTATCTGCTCCAGCTTCTTGGTGGCCTGCTCGATGCCAGAGAGATGTGTGCTGCGGAGCTCCAAGAGGGCCTGCTGCTGGCTGACGTTCTCCTGCAGGAGCCGGTCCAAACAGTCTTTTTCCGTGTCGATGAGCTTCGAGAGCTCTTGGTACCGCTGCAAGTGCTGCTCGCGCCAGTTCTCCTCGCAGCGCTGCAGGCTCGACTTGGCCTCCGACTCGTACATGGCCTCGATCTGGGTGTAGGCCAGATGCTCGGACTCCAGCTGCTCCTTGTACTTGTGGAGGAGGGACTGGAGGTCCTCGGTGCGGACCACGTACTTGGCCATGCGCTCGAGGAGATTGATGCACAGGGATATCTGGCGGCGGCTCGCCTCGCTGCGGTTGCGGATGAACACCTTGATCTTGTTCAGGTTGAAGGCCTGCCCCGTGTCGGGACGCTGCAGGACGAGGGCCGTGCTCTCCTCCAGTAGCTGCTTCTCCTTCTCCAGCTCCCCGATGAACAGCCGGAAGTGCTGCTCCTCTTCTTTGAGCTTCTCGGCCTGGGACTGGTGCTGGCGCAGCTCCACCATGTGCGACTCCTGCAGCTCACGGATCTCTTTTATCTGCTGCTCCTGGATCAGCTGGCGCTCCTTCTGGGCCAGCTCCGTGCGGCTGATCTCCTGCTGCAGCTGCAGCTTCCGCTCGGCGTTCAGGGCCTCCTGCTCGTCCCGCTCCTTCTGCTGCTCGATCTGCTTGTCGAGCCAATTGAGCTTCGCCAGCACCTCGTTGTCGGACTTCGACTGGTACAGAAACTTCTCGTCGTCCACCCCATGCCGCCAGCGGCCGTACAGCTTGGCCTCCATCTCCAGCTTCCGCTTGAGCTGCTCCTGCTCCTTCAGGGACTGATTGACGCGCCCCAGCATCTGGGTGTCGGCGGTGCACTCCCTGGGCCGCCGCTTTCGTCCCATTTCGATGTCGTACGCCTCGTTCTCGGTGTCCAGCAGCTGCCGCAGCCTGCCCTTGCGGTCTGTCAGTTCAATGTCCTTTTGCTTCTGACTCTTGCGGCTCTGCAGCTTCTTTTCGGCATTCTCGTAGTACTCCTTGTTGGTCCAGTTCTCGAAGCGCGTCGTCACCTTGCCCCAGTGGTCGTAGTAGCGATTCACCGCCTGCGTGGCCTGCACGCGGTTGTTCTCCAGCTCCCTGCGCTGCGCGTATGCGGCATGCTGCTGATTGAGTCGCCCCGGCATCCTTGCTGCAAAGAGAGAAGGACAGAAGGGAAGTGAGGCGCCAGTTGGTTGACAAGTTCATAAACTTTTCAATTGGGGCCAAGGCGGCAGCAGCAGCAGCAGCAAGACGAGTGGCAGCGTAACTTCAATTTGCCATTTTTCTTGCTTCTGCTTTTCCGCTGGCCAAGGACCTTAAGGACACAGAGCACAACGAAACGGAAGTGTCGCCACTGGACACTGGAGCCTTAACTTTATTCGATTAGCTGAAGGGCACTACTTCCCCTAAAAGGATGGGCTGTACCTCTCTCTCTGTCTCTATTGCTTTTCCAGTATCCAGAAATAGGAAAATATATTCTATGAATCCTTTCGGTTGTGTTCTGTTTTGTATTTCCCTTGAATGTTGAATGTTTGCCTGCTGAAAACTGAAAACTGAAACTGAAATCTGATGCCACAAATGGAATGCCTCCCATTTCCCCTTTTAGGGTATGCCCTGCTGCGACCAGGACACGCGTTATGGTTTTTGCCCCCATTCCTGCTGCAACAGCCAGGCCATCACCGCAGCTGTCACTAACTGCCAGAGGACCAGCAACAGCCAAAGCGCAAAAATATGGCAAAATCCGGGACAGAAGCCACTATTCCCTGGCTACCCCTCGCACGCTGTGCCGCTGCCAGCTCCAAGCCGCCCATCCATCAAGGAGCGACGCACTGCAATCTGTCAGAGGAGCACGAGCAGGCACAGGAGGAGCAGCAGGCACAGGAGGAGCCGCAGGAGCAGCAGCAGGAGAAGGAGCAAGAGATGCTGCCTGGAATCTGGCATGCAAATGACCAGGCCAAAGCCCGAGGGGTAGCTAATTTCCCAGAGATTTATGGGCGGCACGAAGCGCATTGATATATGCCAAATTGTTTACAAATTGATTGCATTATTAATAATGCCCACAGAGAGACATAGAGGGGGGGGCGTGGCGCCCAACAAGGTGTCAGGATGCGGCTGCCAGGGAGTTCAGAGGATGGAATGGGATTCGGTAGGTAGCTTTACACGAAATGTAAAATATTCCAACAAAGTACTCTCCTTATGTCATATGACAGACGACAAACTTTGGCAATAAATCAAACAACGGAGCGGTAGGAGGTGCCTGGGGGGATGGGGGATTGGGGATTCTTTTCGTTTGTGGGTTATTTCGAACCTAAGAAGGCGTGCCACACACGTGGCACCATCGAAATGCCAAGATGCCACCATTCGTATAGACTTAATACACTTTCGGCACACACAAATTCACTTCCTTAATTGAAATTTTAATTTGAATACTTTGGCGAAAGTTTTGGCCCCCAGCCAGCAGGATAGAGACAGACAGAGAGAGAGACAGTGGGGTGCTGTTCGGCTTCCCTGCTTCTCTGATTCCCTGGCAGCAATAACAAACAGCCAAAAAGTCACCGAAATCCATGTCCTCTCCTACCCTGGATTGCCGCCCTTCGATTCAAGCCCCTCCCCGCGTTTGGTACATGGCTCAGAGCTTTTCAATTTACGCGCCTCGCAAGTCGTTTGTCATTTTATGCCCCTCTAATATATGGCATGTGCGTGAGCCTCCCGCCCCCTCCGCCCCCCGCCCCACTCTCAACGCGAGGATGCGAGGACAACCAATTTCTGTACCTCCCCTTGCCATCCTCCGCCAGCAGCAGGGCAGGGGGGCGTGTAGGGGTGGCAGGGTGGCAGGGTGTTCCTCCTTCGAACCAGCAAAGCATAACTAATCTGCCTAGACAATGATACGGCTACAACATCTGACGAATTGTGCCCCCAAAAGGTTCCGTTTCGCATCGTGCCTCATCGCTGGTTGGGCTAGTGACAAAATAGCGACAGATAAATGTGTGTGTGTAGAGCAAGAAATGGAGGATACACCGGACGAAAAGAGGCACTAATAGCATCGCAGATATCTCAGAGATCTCCAGATCTCAAAGAGAAGGCACGTGTAGACCCGAAAGAAAATATTCACACTGGTTTCCTATGAAAGCGATCTTAGAAATCAAATGAAACCGAGTATTCCTAGGAATAGTTAGCATATTAAATGTATTTACAAAATAGCGACAGATAAATGTGTGCGTAGAGCAAGAAATGGAGGATACACCGGACGAAAAGTGGCACTAATAGCATCCGAGATATCTCAAAGATCTCCAGATTTGGTTTCACACTGGTTTCCTATGAAAGCGATCTTAAAAATCAAATGAAACCGAGTATTCCTCGGAATAGTTAGCATATTAAATGTATTTACAAAATAGCGACAGATAAATGTGTGTGTAGAGCAAGAAATGGAGGATACACCGGACGAAAAGAGGCACTAATAGCATGGGAGATATATCAAAGATCTCCGGTTCTTAAAGAGAAGGCACGTGTAGACCCGAGAGAAAATATTCGCACTGGTTTCCTATGAAAGCGATCTTAAAAATCACATGAAACCGAGTATTCCTAGGAATAGTTATCATATTAAATGTATTTACAAAATAGCGACAGATAAATGTGTGTGTAGAGCAAGAAATGGAGGATACACCGGACGAAAAGAGGCACTAATAGCATCGCTGATATCTCAAAGATCTCCAGATCTTAAAGAGAAGGCACTTGTAGGCTCGACAGAAAATATTCGCACTGGTTTCCCATGGAAGCGATCTTAGAAAATCAAATGAATCCGAGTATTCCTAGGAATAGTTAGCATATTACATGTATTTATTCCCCGCTATGCATTAAAATTCATTTAATTGAATAAATGTACATATCCAATGCTCTAGTAACCTTTTGACCCACATTGTTATATGAGTACACATTCGTTCCCTTTATTTTTCCCGCAGTGTAATGGACTGTGAAGTGACTGGCTGTGCAGCAACAAAGAGGTTTCCATGGAGGCCGCAGGGATTCCCCTTTTGATATCGACAATAATCCCCAACCCATCCCTACCCAGCCATTGCCTCGATTGCAATTACTTTTGTTAATTGTAATACCCACACAAGCACACAGATAGACACACATACTATTTATTTATCTAATGTGTGGAGGCTTCTTTCGAGGCGGAATAGTTGATAATGTTTACCTTGGTGAATACCCTACCTACACACACAAACACAGCCGTACAGAAAAACTATGCCTGTGATTTTTTTTGTTTTGTGGTGTGATTTTTGTACAAGTAAGTACTTGATATTTTTCATCGGTGTAGAAGCAGCGCAGAGCGTGCCAAGACGTAGTTAGTGAGCGGCCCAGGGACAGGGGCAGAGCCAGAGGCAGGGGCAGAGGCACACTTAATACCCTGATAAGATGGGCGATTAGTGCTGCGAGCCATAAACCATAGAGCCATGGAGCCATGGAGCCATGGGAACAATGGCCAGCATTCTTCTCTTTTTTGGGGGGTGGGAGGTAGTGAATAGCCGACTAGCGGGTGCCCTTCGGGGCTACTCCCCAAGGAGAATCCAATAAGAAATTGCATACTTCTGTATTTCTCCTCCATTCAGGCATACCCCTTCTTGCAGATAGAGCATCTATAGATTACAAGAACTTTCCTAATCAAAGCCACTTGTCCACACACCACCGATACCTGGCGCTGGCGCTGGCTCTCCCCAGAGTCTAGAGTTTCAATTAACTGTTCGATTGCTTTGCGTATCACTCTTCTTCGGTGTTCGGTCTTCAGTCTTGCCACGCACCATGGGCGACAACAAGTCTGGATCAACCTCCCTTCCAGGGGCAGACATCGAGCTGCAAAAAGAGTTTGAACAACAGCAGCTGGCAACAATTTGTGGTAAGTACCGAGCGCGCAACTATTTGCTGTTTTTTGAAAAGTATTCAACTATTTCCAAGAGCGCTCGAGGAAAATTCCCCTTTTTCTGAAGGGTAATAAATTTGAGAAGCTCGTGCGCGGGGGGGGGGAGTGTTTGTGTGGCAGGTGTGAGGCTGCGTGTTTACCTTGCCACAAGCATAAACAAAGGCAAAAAGCGGGCGGCAGAAAATGAGTCTGCGATTTGGACTTCCTTTGGCGGCTGCTGCGGCGCCAGAACGCATCTGGTGGTCCGTCGGTAGATCCCCCAAATATTTCGACCAGAAAAACCTGTGTGCCCCACCGCATCTCTTTCCCTCGAAGCAACAAAAGAAACAGAAACAGATACAGATTCAGCACAGCAGCCATAAATCGACAACGGAAAATAAAATGCTGTTAATTTGTCTATCCGTCCAATCTCTGATCCGAGACTCCGACTAAAGCAATTTAATACCCGCATTTGCCGTCGCATTTGCAGCGCATTTTGGGCTTCCCCCAAAAACCGACAAACAGACAGACGACCGACACAGACCGGCGACCGACCAGAGACAGGGGATCCCCAGTCCTCGAAAAAACAAAAAACAACTAAATAACCAAAAAAAATAATAATAATAAGAGTACGTCCGGAGATGGTAGGCAAAGAAAGCAGCAACAGGTGACACAGAGAGACACCAAATGGAGATGCTGCTGGAGATATTTTTGCAGTGAACAGATCACGGAATAGAAGAGATCGAAGTTGAGTGGAGATTATAATGGAAAAAATCGTATAAATCATGGAACATAGTGCCTAGGATCACATTATTTAATGCTAAGGAATAAGAAGTAGTGACTCAAGACAAGTCACGACAAGGGGAAGAGTCACTTTAAAAAAAAATAAGAAGAAGAAGAACAAACGACAACCGGAAAGTGTATATCTTTCACCTTGTACAATATAGTACATCAAATAATGAATAGACCAAGGAGATAGATATATAATACAGAGATCCGTGACTACTGTCGGGAGAACCTTGTGGGTTTCTGTCCATGGGATCGTGTTTCGTATAGTTATTGTGTTGTGTGGCATGGAAAGATTGTCAACAAGCAGCTGATTTACTGCTGCGATAGAAGACCGATAGTGGGGGACCGAAAAGTAGAACCCTTATCTGCTGCTAGCGACCTTCAAGACTGACCGATATTGAACCGGCGTTACTCGTACGCCACGCTCACATGAAGCCCACTGATCCATAACGCTGCATAATTATCTAATCGTCCGCTAACTAACACAGTTATAATTGTCACCCAACGCCCACTGCCTACAGCCCCGCCCCCAACACCCACCTGTCATTCTGTCACTCGGAAGTTGTGATTGAGGACTACGAGGCGTGAATTCTGGCCCAGAGACTGTTCAAAGTTTGCGATGATTAAACTTAATTGCATATCAGCGTGAAATATCTCATCCACCGTCCCTTATTGAGGGGAATCGACAGTCACGCTGACACGTGCATCGCTTTACCGCTTGACAACCACAAGAACAACACAATGGAACTAGCGATGAGCGATACGAAGCGATCTAATGCAATTTCCCCCAATTGTTTGTACAATTCTGTTGAAATTTCGATTACAATCGGGATGTGGAGACCTGCATTGCCAACTTCATAGCAAAACGGTAGTACTCTCCCACTCTCTCTCGCCGTTAGGGTATCAAAAAAGAACCCTTTGCAGTGGGGAAAAAAGTACCGGAACGAGGTTCAAATGAGGCCAACGAGTTTGCGCGTCGCCGTGTAATTCACAGCAGCGGACAGCAGTGGGCATATCACATTTCACTTTGGCCATAGTTTGACCTTTGCCACAGCAATCCCCGGCAATCCCCACCGTACTGATAACAGCGACAGCGGCAGCGGCAGCGACTTAGTTTGAAAGCTCTCTCTCTATCCCTCTCTCTCTCTCTCTCCCAGAGGAGTGTGAGCGGAAGTGAGCGAACGGCGAGCGCGAATGATGATCGGCTGTTGGCAATAAGTTTCATGCGATTAAAAATTTGTTTGGTTTGGCATTGCGGCGTCGACGACGGCAGAGACAGCGCGCTAGTGCCAGTGGCAGCAGCGGCGGCGGCAGCGGCAGCAGAGTTCCGATTTTTTCGCGTTCGTCTATAAACACAGGTGCGCCCTTATGCTGGCCAACATTCGCGCTTGTGATACGAAAACGAAACATAACCCAAGCCAAGAGACTCTCTGCACCATTCGCACACCCAAAAAAAAAACAACCAAAGGCTGACCTTCACACCACAATCGAAGTTTGTGCACAATTCTTGCCACTGCAAAAACAACGAAACACTAAAAGAAGCAACAACAAGCGAAGCGAGAAACAATCAACACAAAAAGTTCCTAAATCAAAGTCACATTTGTGCAAACAAACACACACGAAAAAGTTCCTAACAGAGCAACGGCAGAGCAGATCCAACAGCAAGTTTAACAACAACTCTAGCAGCAGAACAGGAGAGCAGCAGAACAGGAGAGCAGCAGAACAGGAGAGCAGCAGAACAGGAGAGCAGCAGAACAGGAGAGCAGCAGAACAGGAGAGCAGGAGAAGCAGAGACAGCATGACAGCACTGGGATTAGTTTTGCTATCAATGATGGGTAAGTGTGTAAGCGAGACAGCAGTGAGTGGGAGTGAGATTGCGAGTGGGAGTGGAGATCGGGAGACAGTGAGTGGTCTTATCGCATGCCCCTGAACATCGCCATAAAACATGGTCGAGAGGGGTCTTATCGAGGCATTCTGCACATCTATCACAGCTGCAATCAGCGTCAGTCGAGCAGGAATATCGTATATGTACATCGTATTCATATGTGGCGGGGGGGATACGGGGGGTACATACATATGTATGTGATTTTTTGTTCAATTAATTACTGACATTTAACAAAATTTTCATTTACGGCTTGACAGCCAGCGCCCCCAGTGCGACGGAGTGAAATTGTTTTTGATTTTAATATGCATAATAATTTGCGCACCCTAACATTCGCGGTACAGAGTCCTTCCGTTCGTGCATGTCTTTCGGCGAACGGCAGACCAGTGTCAGGGCAAAAGGCACACGAACATGTTCTGTGCCGAAGATCTGTGAAAGAGAGCATCCCTTCTTCGGCTGTGAACCGAACACTGCTCGCCTTCTGCTCTTCTGCTTTTTTTTTTGTATTTCGCTCTTTTTCTGCCGCTTTCATTGTGTTTTTTGCCGTTGGTTTGCACTGGGTTCTTTTTTTTTCACTCCCGTTGACTTTTGCTTTTGTTTTTGTTGTAATCGAGCGTGACTTAATTTCGCACATTCCGCCCTCCGATGTGTTGTACGTACGTTGTATTCCCCGTGTACGGTTATTTGTTTAATGAACGGCGGTGTACACGGACGAATGGACGAGTGGAATGACGGACTCCAACCTCTGCAGAGCATCGTCAACATAATAATAATATTGAAATGTCTCTATTATGTGCTTTGGCTGATTAAAAACAAACAATTACCCAAGGGACTCGCTGTTTTCCCTCTGCCCTGCTCTTTCTGTCCCAGTGACTCGACTCTAATTATTTGCTGGCAATTTAAATACCTCAATTATGCGACAATTTAATCAGCAGCGAAAACGAAAACGAAGGAACGGTAACGGGGGGAAGGGGGTCTGATAGCATGGCTCCACGGATTAATCAAAAATTATCAAAGAACTTTGCGCCTTCGCCTCAAAATTGCTTTCTGTAATGAAATGAGTGTGTGCTTCCCCCTCCCCCACCCCAATCACTAAAGCAGGGCTTTAGTTTGCCACCCCTTCCTCCCCCTCCTTCCACCCATTTCGCATATATTCGCGTGTGTACGCGATAGCAAGGTTTAATAGTGTGTAAAGCGAATGTGTGGCATGTGGCAGGAGGTGAGCGGAAGATGGATAGATAGTGAGTGAGAGTGGGAGAGTGTGAGAGTGCCACAAAGTTTGCAACATTGATTAGGCCAACGCGAGTTGTAATGTTTACTTTATTAGGCCGCGTAATTAGGGTAACAATTAGGAAGCGGAGGAACGTAGAGCAGCGGCTCTTGCCGGGGCTTTGCTGTATATATAAATGTAATTAACATGTTACATACACACACCAAAAAGTAAGCGGCATAAATTAAACATCCAACGATTTGGCAGCTCCTCCTCCCTCACACCTTTGTATCCCCCCCTCCCTCCTCCTCCTCCGCCTCCACCTCTTGCGCATTCCTGGCTCCTGGCTTCCTGCTCTGTTTATTATTCAAGCACGCGCCGCCAATGTAGGAGTCCCGGACACGATAGGATAGGTGGCAGAGCGTTCGCTCTTTCTAAATTTTAATTAGAAACTGCCGCTATTAAGTTAGTCAAGTGCTTTCCCTGCCCCTGCCCCTGCCACTGCCCCCTGCTCCACGTCCCACGCCCCTCCGCCTCCGCTTTCCGTCTAAGTTTTCCGTATGCATATAAATGCGAGATGCGGGGGCGTGGATGTATCCCGAAGTTTTGGCAGACGTCCGCAAACATGCAAAACTTCTATCCCCCCTCCCCCCGTTCCCTGTGTTTGCCAGCTCCCCCGCGCACATAAAACAAATTTTGAATGAAATAGTTTTCGGATTTGCATTTATGACTCACGGAGGGGCGACGACGACTACAATCCGAACGGAACGGAACTTCTTTTCTGCAGAGCCATTGATAGATGATAGCACCTGTTGCTCTTGGTCTTCCCCCTCTCTTCGCCTCTCTTTTCCCCTTGGCTGACGGTCGTTTAGCTATTTCGAAGCCAGTCGACGCTTTAAACTGAGTCATGCTGATGCGGGTCAATAGTTGAACCGAAGTGTGAATTCCCTAAAACAAGTGAAAGTTTGCCACCACCAAGCATGCCTTTAAAGCCTAAACAGATATACCCTTCGACATACCCTGGCTGAAAATGCAATACAATTACCTTATACAAACAACAGTTTAGCAACAGAAGGAGGTGTGAATACCCTACAGCAGGACATTGGGGAAATTAATCTATCCTGATCATTTAAAGCACTTTTCTTTATGATAATTAAGACAAATTGCGCTACCCGCCAGAACTGATATACCTGCCGTGCACTCTGCAATAAACGTTAGTCGTTAGCATATTCAATACACGCTGCGCTGCGGCAGAGGTTGAGGCGACGGTTGGATCTTCGGCTTGATCTTCGGCCTGATCTTCGGCTGATATTCAGTCTTCGGCTGAGCGGCTGTGTCGCTGATGACGATTGCGATTGCCAATCGGAGTGGATCGGCAACTTGTTTTGCGCTCTTCTAGGCCCACCTCTCTCGCGATGGGTAACGTAACGGGGAATTTTGTGGCTGACATTCGTTCGGGGGAATTGGGAAGCCAGCGTGTCAGTGCATGTTCGCGCCTCTCTCTGGAACCGCAGACACCGCAGCAGACAGCGCGTGGGGCAGCAGCAGCAGCGCACACATCGGCTATCATTTATCAATGGAATGTGAGCGATGCACGGTAGCAGCACCGCAGACCACACCCCCACCTCCGCCCACCTATCACCTCCGCCCCAGCACTTCCCTTTGCAATTACGGCGGACAGAGCTTGGTGCGAGATTTCAACGCAAACAGCAGCCTTTGTCTCTCTTCATTGAAGCGTGTTCGGGTGTCTGTGTGTTCAAGACAAGCGAACCCTCATTAACCCAAGGTCGTACACCTCTCTCTCTCTCTCTTTGCAGGCTACACGCAGCACATGCAGCAGCCAGAACCCAGCTCCCTGGGAGTGGAGGGCGGAGCACGACTGCTCTCCCGAGCGGACTGGGGCGCCCGGATGCCCAAGTCCGTGGAACACTTCGAGGGACCCGCCCCGTATGTCATCATCCATCACTCGTACATGCCCGCCGCCTGCTTCAGCACGCCGGACTGCATGAAGAGCATGCGGGACATGCAGGACTTCCATCAGCTGGAGCGCGGATGGAACGACATCGGCTATAGCTTCGGCATCGGCGGAGATGGGATGATCTACACGGGTCGCGGCTTCAACGTCATCGGAGCCCATGCCCCCAAATACAACGACAAGAGTGTGGGCATTGTCCTCATCGGAGATTGGAGAAGTAAGAGCCCCGCTTTAAGAATAATCTATAGATTGCTAATGCATCCCTCTGTCAATCTTCAGCTGAACTGCCGCCCAAGCAGATGCTGGATGCCGCCAGGAACCTGATCGCTTTCGGCGTGTTCAAGGGCTACATCGACCCCGCATACAAGCTGCTGGGGCACAAGCAGGTGCGCGAAACAGAGTGTCCGGGCGGACGCCTCTTCCAGGAGATTTCCACGTGGCCGCACTTCAACAATGGAATCCGTTTTAACGCAACGACGGAGCAGCCACCACAGGGGCAGGCACAGCCCCAAGCCAAGGCACTGCCTGTGGTCCCCAAGGTCTAGTTTAGCTCATCCCGAATCCTAATCCTCTATACCATACTACGCCACACGAGCTCTCAGCTCCCCCGCTCAATGCCAAGGAGTTCATTCAGTATTCATTAGATGTCTCTCTGCGAACATTTCACAAATAAAGCAATTTCTAGATGATAACACTTGGCCGAAACACACGCCACGCCCCATTCCCACGCCATCTGTCAAATCGAATGGCAATTAATTTGTGTCAAATTCGATTTGGATTTGGATGGGACAAGTTTTTGCCGGGACGACGACGAGGCGATGAAATAGTCGTCGACCCCGAGGCTCGTCCATGGTTGGGGGACAAAAACGGGGACTATATTGCCACACGGAAACTTCTGCCATCGAGACGAGGGTACAAACAATTCAATTAATTATTAAAGCCCCGCGGGAGAAGTCGCATATTCAAATTTCCAAAGCCCATGCCTCCTCTAAATCGTAGCTTTTTGTTTCCTGTTTTTAATGCCGATGCGCACAAATGTTGCATACTTTTTGGCTGCGGAAAAACGGCCGCCAGTAGGTCAAAGCAGAAATGCGATTGGGATGTTTGAATTTCGCGCCTAAGATCCATACGGGTAGTTCCAGAAACAGACGCACACTGATCATGGCGCCACTGAACTAATGCAGACATCAGGAAGGAAGATTTTCTGCAGGGAGTCCTGGTTTTATCAGAATATCTCAACCGTTTGTGGTCCAATCCGGGGGAAATGTGTGCGAATCGATAGATAATGAATGCATACGTGTGGAAAGTGAACCTGTAACAGACTCGCCTAGCCCTAGGCCAATCGATATGCGATCAATGAGACTATAAATACAATCACGCACCCGCCGACCATTGCACGGCTCCCTGCATTAATGTCAACCGTTGCCGAGGGATTGTGAATAGAGCAGCCCCCACACCGGCAGCCACACATCACGCAGACAATGTAAATATTGCAAGCAAATCAGAGAGAATCATCGCAGATCCATCAGCATCGCACGCATCCAGAGAACAGAACAGAACAGAATCACTAATGGGTTTGGATTTTCTAGACGAGTGGTTTCTATCACAGGGTAAGACGCCTCCCCCCACGACCCTTTCCCCCCCTTTCTCCCCCACGAAATTAGCTGCGACACCCACGACCATGCGACACAGAGAACTTGCGTAACTTCAGAGTCTGATAAGAGGCGTTAATGGGAGTGGTTGGGGAGGAGGAGGGTGGGTGGCTATCCTTGAAGTGGGCCACAGATATCGGGTTATTAATAATTCCATGCGGATTCCATTGAACTGAGGCTGTGGCTGTGAAGGCGCTGCACCTGCCATAAGGTCAATCGGACCCCACTCTCTCTCCGCCTCGCTCTCTCTCTCTGCCCACTCTTTCGCTCTCCAAATGCTAAAAATATTCTTCCTCTGTCGGTCAACAAAATTTTCATTTCATTATGCTTTTCACAGAAAAAGAGCGAGAGAGAGAGACAGAGAGAGAGTGCCAGAACATACAGCAACCAGCAGAGAGGAAAAATCGGTGAAATTTTTGAATTTTTCTGGCATTTTCGGCCTGCTTGGAAAATGTATGAATTTAGTTTTTGAAACGCCGTCATAGGCGCTGCTGTTGCCTCCTCTGCGTTTCGGGCCAAAAGAAACCACTTCGTTACCGTGTATATGTCTGTGTGCGTGTGATATGTGTGTGTGTGTGTGTGTGTGTGCGTTTAATTTGCGGTTGCGGTTTCGGTTGTGTGGGTGTCGGTGTCGGTTGGACCCACCAAACCGCTTTTATACTATATTCTATACACAACGAAAACTGCATCCACATCGGCCGAACGAGCCAATTAATACACATTGAAAATATATCGAATAATATATCCAAAAATATATAGCATATAGTATACGTATAGGGGTTGCAAATGCGCAGAAATTTCTATCGGTCGCCAAAGTGTCACTGCCTCCACCGTCGATGGCCTCCGGAATTGATCCCATAAATCTCTGGACAGCAGAATCATGAATGGTGTTCCCAAAATAAATACATGCATACATATGTACATACATACATACATACATATGTACCGATGGACCAAAGAGCGGTGTATTTTTAAACTATTTGTTGACAGGAGCTGCGGCTCCCCCACCCTCCCCCTCTCGAACGGGCACTTGTTCCCCTTTTTCCCTGCTATCAATGCAATTTTCTCCCAGTTAACAATGTTAATTGAAAATTCGGGCCTTTTCGGCCCAAAAACAGTCATCCCTCTCCCTCTTTCTCCTCTGCGTTGATGATGATGGAATATTCCTAAGTATAATTTTTATTTGCATGTCATGTTTAATTAACGCCTCCAAAGAGGCGGAGGGGCGGAGGAGTGCACTCACCAGAAAGCACGGCCAAAAATTTGCAATCGTTAACAGAAAGAAAAGAGAGAGAGAAAAAAGCAGGAATTGAAATGAATATGGAGGATAGAGGATGGATGGCAGGGTAGGGCGGGGCAGAGAGGGGGGGGAGGAAGACAATCCAGTGAACAGCCATGGAAATGGCAATGGAATGAAACAAATTCGGATTTCATTCTTTCCCCCCTTCGCCTTCCCCTCCCTTCCCGGCCCGTACCGTTCCTCTCTTTTTTTTGTAGAAACAAAAAGAAAGCGCCAGAGATGTGTGTTTCCTTTTATTCTTTTCGATTTGATGCCTCTCTTTCTCTCTCTGAGAGCAATCATTTCACCCTCTCTCTCTCTCTCTGTCTCTCTCTGGGCGCGTCTCTCTTTCTTTTTTGCTTTCTTTGGCGCTTTTGACGCTGGCTGTGGCGCTGGCTGGCTGGCTGGCTGGCTGTCTGGCACAAAGAACCTAAAATTAAATATTTTCGCCGTTTACATATCGCAGAGGAGGCAGTGGCAGTGGCAGAGCAAATCGTTTGTTGTTGTTGCTATTCCCGTTTCAGTAGCTGCTGCTTTTGTTGTTGCTGTTTACTGGAGTGCATATGTATGTGTATGTGTATGTGCATTCACACACGCACAGGGAAAGAGCATATCTAGGCAGTCGACTGGACACACGCTGATACAGTGAAGGCTCTGCAGAATGGACGGCCGGAGAACCTCTACTGGACAGACAGTCGAGGCTCTCCTGAAGCGAACACCCCACTGTAACAATAGTGATTGCATATCCAAACAGTCGACTGGACAAACAGTAAAGGTTCTCTCTGGATGGAGACGTCACCCCAGCACTGTCCAGACTCGCTGGCATAGCCCCTTCCTTCACCTTCACCTTATCTAGCATGTCCAGGCAGTCCAGTACTTGGCTACAGTAAAGCAGTGCACCAAGCAGTGTGACATACAGTCAAGGCCCTACCCATGGTGACACTGTCTCGGGGTCTGGGAATGTCTTTCCGCCTGAAGAGTCTTTACTGTGTGTGCGCACCAAAGCATTCCATGGCATGCCTCTTCTCTACTCTTCTCTACTCTCCTATCTGTTGGGATGCGTTGATGCATGTGTGTCCCTGTCCCTGTCCCCGACCATGCCAGCGAGTCCGTGTGTCCCTGTGTGTACTCTATGACTATGACACAAAGGCCTACATTTTGTCTCTCGGCAACAACAACAGCAATCGCCACAAAAGCAAAAGCAAAAGCAAGAAAAAGCTAATGAGCGCATTCATTTAAAAATAACATTGAAATGAAACATTCCCAAATATACAACGAATTTGAATTGGACTGAAAATATCCCAAACAGCTGTTGCCCATCGTCGGCACCGGACCGCGAATAAATAGCACGGGGAACAAAATCTAACAGAAAAACAACACTAGGAAAAATTAAAAAAAAAAAACGAACCGAATTATCAAAAGAGAAATAGAAATCCGCGAAAGAACGAGCCAACGAACCGAAAAACAAAAAAAAAAATACATCGAAAATCTGAATCTGAATGAAAGAACTTTTTGGACAAGTCGTCGCGACTCTCCCTCGACGGCGGTGCTAATGTGCAAAGTTTTGTGTTTTCATCAGCAGGAAAAACGGAAAAGCGGGAAAAACAACGCAAGAATTTACGGAAAATTATTTAAAAAGTGTGTGCAAATAGACGGAGCCGACGAGCACGACGACAAGTGGGCAGCCCCCTCTGGAGAGTTAACGGTAAAGCGAGCGGCAGGAAAACAACAGTAAAAGCAAGCAGCAGCAGAAGCAGCATCAGAAGAGGAGGAGGAGAGACAGCAAGCAGTAGCAATGCCGTTTGTGACACCCCGGGCGGGGACAAGCAGTGCAAACAACAGTGCGGGACGCACCACATTCCGCCCGCCGTGGGTGAAGGAGGACGCCGCCTCAGCCTCCAGTGCCACAGCCACCAAGCCCACGACCACGCCCTGGGCTAAGAAGACAGCGGCAGCCGCTGCCGCCAAGGAGAATGGTGACAAATCCGCTCCATCTGCGGCCACAGCGACAGCCAACAGCAAGGCCAAGGCGGCTCCGGCCGTGACGACCGCGAAGAAGACGACGACAACCCCCTCGGAGACGGCTAAAAAAGTGCCTGAGCCCGTCAAGAAATCCTCAGCAACGACGACAGCAGCAGCAAGCAAGAAAAATGCGAATGCGGAGCCCGTGAACAGCAAGAAGGCCCCGGAGCCAGTCAAGAAGGTGGCTCCCACTGCGGTGACCAAGAAGCCAGCGGCTACGAAGAAGAAGGAGCCAACGCCACCGCCCGAGTCCTCTTCGGAGGAGGAGGAGAGCGAGGAGGAGGAGGAGACTGAAGAGGAGACGGAATCCGAGGAAGAGGAGACCGAGGAAGAGACCGAATCCGAGGAGGAGGACGACGATGACGACACCACGGTGGACGAGAAGGTGCCCGAGCACGTGAAGAAGGCCGCCCAGCTGCGTCCGACGACCGTCAACAAGAAGCCGGAGCCGGAAAGTGAGTTGAAACAGCGTTTCACTATAGAGAAACCCAAGTTGCGGAGCGTAGCGGTGGTCAAGCGGGACAAGTCGATGAAGAAGGTGCCCGCCGAGGCGGACGACGAGGAGGCCGAGGAGGGGGAGACGGAGGAGGAGCGCGAGCGCCGGCTGCGCTTCAAGTTAGAGAAGCCGAAGCTGCGGCACGTGAAGCGCGAGGAGAAGCCACTGCCCAGCAAGAGCACCGACGACCTGGCCAAGATCCGGCCAGTGCTCAAGAAGGTACCGAAGATCGATGAGCTCCTC